AAATTTGAGGAAGAGTCTTGCATGGAATTTTCAAAAAAAAATACAAGCTCTTCTCTAATTTCAGCGGATTCACTTTTCGGACAGATTAGAACTTCAATTTCGGCATTCAAAGACGGATGCTAATAGAAAAACAATCATACCGTGAAAATTCTATTTTGGGTTGCAAAAAGTACAAAGATCACATTTTAATGCTATGTTATTGCCCATAATGACCGCAGGTATTCGACTTATGTGTGAAAACACTGAGAATAAAAAGCTCTCACTTATTTCTGCAGGTATGGGATATTTCTACATAGTAAGTTGTTTTCGAAGTCGAAAATATGTCACCAATCTATGATTCCCCTCTTGATTCTCCCATCCTGATCGAGCAAAAAACAATAAGATGAGAAAAAGCTGAAAAGGAAAAAAGTTTGACATTGTTAATCCAGCAATTGCGAGCTAAGTTCACTTCCATAGTTTTTGAGTTTTTTCTTCTAGATTTCCTCAATTTTGTTACCTCAATTCTATTTCCTAATTTTTTTCCTCAATCCTGTTTCCTCATTTTGTCCTCAATTCCTATTTAGTCTATTTTAGCATTTGAAAATCCCGTAACTTTTCTAGCAAGATATTTACGTTCTATGACATGAAGAAATTTCTTCATTATTGCTCAAGCGGTCAATATCATTCTGCCATTAATTGTCGTATTTTTCAAAAGTCACTGCTGAAAAAATGCGAACTTTTTTTTAGGTAAAATTACAAAATGGTGGTCCTTTCCCGGTTAGCATCGCCACTTAGAATATCGTCGAAGGTAACAGCGGATATTTTTTTTGATTTTTCGGAATCAACTTTCTAGACAACAAGTAGCTTTCAGGCCCGACCTGTGATACTTATTCAGAACAACTTTTCCACATCATCTGTGCTCAATGTCAAAATCTATTCTAGCGCTAAAGAAGCAGTACAAGATATCCCAGATAATGCAAAACTTCTTGTCGGAGGTGATTCACACTCATAAGTTAGGAAAATTTTTAAAAGGGTTTTCTGCAGGCTTTGGATTGTGTGGTATTCCTGAAAATTTAATCAACGCGTTGAGTGAAACTGGACAGAAAGGTCTAACATGCGTTTCGAACAATGCGGGTGTAGACGATTGGGGACTAGGAATTCTGTTGAAGTCAAGGCAGGTCAGAAATAAAAATATCTAGACTTGCTACATTTTCAGCATAAATAAGCACACAAGCAACATTTGTTTTCAGATCAAAAAGATGATATCTTCGTACGTCGGAGAAAATGCAGAGTTTGCACGACAGTATCTCTCCGGAGAACTTGAGCTTGAATTTACTCCTCAGGTAAGTGCATAAATTTCTGCTCTAACTGAAATCAAATTTTTTGAAGAGTTAGTTTCGCTCTTCCTCTAAGACGTGGTAAAGAAACGTACGACTTTCTACGAAATTCCTCAGTGAGGAGCTTCAACTGTAAACTGATAAACTTATCTATCAACGCCAAAAGGTTTTTGTCATAAAGCTAATCTAAATTTTTGGAAGTATTCTGAAATTTTTTATTGTTTACAAGCAAAGGAAAATTGCTTCACAACCTCATAACTGGCAAGACCATTCTTGAGAATTTTGCGATTATAGAGGTAGAACCTGTTTCTCTAGGTCTGCCACGGATATATTAGGTTGGCTAAAAAATAATTTCGGTCGTTTTCA